AAACATTCAAAGAGTTCAAAATGAATTTTATAACTCTAACGCAAGTACCGTATTGAATATATTAGTAATACCACACCTGAAAATAATTATCTGATCAGGCTTCCTGCTATTTGAAGTAGCATAAAAGTCTAGCAACAATTCCCTGCAAAGAGCACATACGTTAAATGTCGCAGAATTGTTAATAATTACATAACAGAAAAAGGGATGCAATATATAAGAGTTTCAGAGTATATGTAAGTGGCGAGAGGAGTCAACCTGATTATGCCCGCATCTTCTTTATCTGATACAGGCTTGAACAGAGAAGCAATCATTTCTACTTTTGGCGATTGAGTACGAACAGCAGCTCGGTACCGAGAAATCAAGGGCCAGTTCCTGGAACTCACCACCTACAAAACATAGAACATGATATAGCAGCAACTCCCACGGTGACCGAGTATGGAGTAAAATTTATGGAAAATAACATGTTTACGAAATGTTCAGTTTAAGGGACTAGTGTTACCGCTGCAATAGAAGGTACATCTGAACGCCCAGGTGAGCCGTGTGACACATCCATTCCCAAAATCAGAGTGGGGCACTTAGAAACCAAAGGTATAGAAGGCGAATGCTCCACTTGTAGCAAGGAATTCATTCCACCCAGCTACACAAGTGCAGACAAAACAAGGGAAGACCAAAATCAATGCATGAAACGTTAAACACAAATAGTAGACAACACAAGACAATTTCCACAAATGATATTATTGTAACTGAAACATACCTTTGCATTGATTTTCAGGAGCACATTTGTGATGTACTGATCATTAAGTTTTGCAGGAGCAATGCACTGTGTTACAATCCCAAGCTCAGAAAGATTTCTCCTTTTCCATGGACCTGGAGAGTTTGGAGATTTGTCAACACATACATCCTCAACATAAAGTGTGGATAAAAATAATAGAGGAAAAGAATCATGAGCTGACCATATATGTCAGAATTCTTCCTCTCTGGAAGAATACACAACAGAAGCTCTGGTGGTCCTGGAAGTTTGGACTTTATGTATTCAATCATCTTGTCCACTCTAACAGGAGCTGGGTCACGTCTATTCTGGTTGTTCTCTTCAAATACAAAAAATGGATCATTTATGACCTACAATAAAGAATTTTCTTTTAGAATAACAAATAATCAAATGCATAGATGTACATTATAGAAGTAGCTTTTTTTCTCTATAATTCAGAGAGAGAGTAATCTCACAATTCCTTTCATCTCTCCACACTTCAACATATTATTGACCAGGTACCGAGTGTCACAGCGAGCAGAGAAATTGACAATAGCCCAGCGCTCTATTTTCACAGGTTGTATCAATTTCTACACATAGGTAATTGAGTTAAATTCAACATAAAAAATTCAAAGCTTGATGCCAGTGAAACAGAAAATACTTAAGAAGAACAGCACCTTGTTGTTAAAATTCCAACGCCCGTTCCGAGGGAAAAAATCTTGTCCCTCGCCAACTTTTAGCTGCAG